CCTGTGGGCCTACATGGACACTCATCGTCACCCGGAGTCCATAGCTTACCTTCGGGTTCACTTTTGCTGAGGCAACTTCTATGGGTTTGGACAAATGTATATTGAGCTGTATTTGCCATTACAGTTCCACACAGAGTAGTTTCATTGCCCTAAAAATCCTCTGCCTATTCATCCCTTCCTCCCCCTTAATCTCTGGCAACTACCGGTCCTTTTATTTTCTTCATATTTTTGCCTTTTGCAGAATGTCATACGGTTGGAATCATATGGTAGCCTTTCCAGACTGGCTTCTTTCACTTAGTGATATGCATTAAGGTTCCTCCATGTCTTTTCATGGTTTGACAGCTCATTTCTGTTTAGTGCTGAATAATATTTCATTGTCTGGATGGACCACAGTTTATATCTCCATTCACCTACTGAAGGTCATCTTGGTTGCTTCCAAGTTTTGGCAATTATGAGCAAAGCTGCTATAAACATTGTTTGGAGATTTCTGTGCGGATATGTTTTCACCTCAACTCCTTTGGGTAAATATTAAGGAGCATGATCGCTGGATTGTATGGTAAAAGTATGTTTAGTCCTAACCCCAGGACCTCAGAATGTGACTGCATTGGGGGGGGGGGGGTTAAAGAGGTAATGAAGGTAAAATGAGGTCATTAGCGAGGGCCCCGATACAATGTGACTGGTGCCCTTATAAGCAGAAGACACAGACACACACAGGACTGAGCATGTGAGGACACAGGCAGAAGATGCCCATCTACAAGCCAAGGAGAGAGGCCTCAGGGAAACCAGCCCTGCGACCTTGACCTCTGACTTCCAGCCTCCAGGACAGTGAGAAAATGCATTGCTGTTGTTGGAGCTGCCCAGCTGTGTGTTTGTTATGCAGCCTGAGCTGACTGAGACGGACACCAGTGACCTCCACATCAGCAGACCCAGGACTTGCTTCCAGTGCTTTGTGTCAAGAGGCAGAATGGTCAGTGGTCACTTCCTGACCATCCCCAGCAGGTGGCCTCACCCCCTTCCTAACTGCAATCCCGATTCCATGACCCCTCTTGCCCAGTTCTCTCCCACCCCACTGCCTTCTCCTCTCAGGATCCCTTTTCCTCCTCCTTGTCTGTCAGGCAGGGCTCCTGAGGGGTCTACCCTTAGCCCCTGCTCCTCTCCCGCCAAACTACAAATGTGAACTACTGGCCGGCCTCTCCCTGGTTCAGTTTGCCAGACCTGATTTTTTCCTGGGATATCTGACTGGCACCACAGACTCACCATTCTCTCCCTCCCGCCCTCCCCCCCCCCCAAGCCCAGTTTCATCAAATTGTCACCTGATGCCTCTGCCTTCACCTGAGTGACCATCCCCTCGATAGAGCTCCTGGTCTCCCCACAACTCTTTTCACCTTCAGTCGGTTTCCCAAATGCCTTGGCAGAATCTTCCCATGGCACAGAACTGCCTTTGTTCCTTGGTCCTGCTTAAAAGTCTCGAAGTTTTCAGTGGCTTTAAGCCTCCAGCCACACCCTCAGACCCCTCCATGCTCTCTGCACTCACTGGCTTTGTTTTAGCTCCAAATCTACACACTGTCCCACTCCATGCCTTTGCACAAGCCACACTCTCTGCCTGGAATGCTCTCCCCACTTCCGTTGCCTAATCAATTCCTCTGTATCCTTCCAGACAGTACCCGGAGGCCATTCCCTCTGAGACTCTCCCTCAGCCGCTACCATTCACGGACACTGCTACCTGTCTGTCCTCCAGGCGCTTACTTGGCAACACTGTTATGAGATGATTCCTCATGCCACACGGAGGGCAGTCGCCACACTCCCATCACATCCCCAGAGCCCAGCACAGTAGGTGCTCAGGAAGGACCTGGGGGCTGGTGAGTAAATGACGTTTCAACGATGAGGACTGGGTGAGAAGCGCGGGGGTGGGGGGATGGGGGGGGTGGGGGGGCGGGGAGGCCTGGGGTGTGGCGAGGACCAGTGGTGGCTGAAGTTTATGCAGGAACCCTGGCGGGCTGAAGGGTCCCCTGCTATTTCTCCTGGGACTCCCCCTGCCAGTCCCTGTCCCTGCTCCATACCTCTCTTTTCTCTACCCTCCCAGAAGCCTGATAGGTCGCTCAGACTTTCCACTATAGACTTGCAGCACCGGCACGCCCCCACACCAATGGTTTGGCCATTGTTCTCACAGCCATGTGAGTATCGAACAAACAGATGTTTATAGTTAATCTCTAATTTTGCCATCAAAAAATATACAATCTTGGGTAGAAACTGAAGAGGAAAGAATTTTTTAATTTACAGTGTCTCCCTACAGTCCCAATCCTGAAATTTGAAATTGCTGAACGGACTCCAAATTCAATATTCCAAGTCAAACAAATCTATGTATTCTCCAAAAGGAAGTATTGAATGTCTGACCAAGACGGAGCAGGACAGGAAAGTCAGGGAGGAGGGGAAGCCACCGCTCCCCAGCCACGCGCTGCTCCCCAGCACGCCTCTTTCCCACTGCTTGCTACTTCTTTCTTCTTGTGTTTTTAACGACAAAATGCCTCTCTCAGTTGCCTTCCTTGAAGGATCCTGGCTTTTCAGTGTCCACCCTCTGCCATCAGGGCTGGGTCTGGGGCCGGGCGAGCCTGTGCCCTCCTGGGGGAAGAGAACCGGGAGGAGATTCATGACAATCCTGGGATGGATCAGGTCTGTCTGGGGGGAGACCCACTTCCAGCAGGAACTTAGGGAAGAGCTGAATGACCGAGGGCACATTCTTAAACTCTACCCTGGGCCCGCCCCACCCCTCAGCTGGAATTCACCTCGTCCTTGGCCCCTTCCCTACTCCTGCAGGCTACTCCTTGGAGTTCTTGAGCATAAGTTTCTGCTGGGACAGTAAGTGGCCCTTTCTGCTTCTTCGCCAGACTCTCCAAGGTTTACTGACCTGGTGACACAAATCCAACCCCTAGATGCTGTCCCTCCCCTCCACTCGGTGCCTGATCCTTCTACTCTCAGCCCTGCTCCTGGCCAGGTGCGTGGCTCCCAGCCATGGCTTTGACCTCACTGCCCATGAACCACCCTTGCATCAAAGCTTGTAGGTGGCAGCATTTGTCTCATAGAGAGTCTTGGAGAGGTTGGGAAGCCTCTGTTTCACAAATGGAAAGTTGGAATTAGGCCACCTGCCACATTAGCCCAGACTCTCCTGGTTGCAAGTGATAGAAACTAACCCTCACTGCTTTGAACATCACTGAGAAGCCCAGGAGCTTGGAGACCAGGAAAGGGAACAAATGCCCTCAGTGGGTGTCCCCTGCATAACCCCCTGTAACCGCACCCCCGCTGCGGAAACCCTGTCATAGTGGGGGCAAGCTGGTAGGGGGTCTCTAGGCTGCTTTCCCAGCTCAGTGGCCACTTTATGGGAAGGAACCTCTTTTTCCAACAGCCCAAGTAGAGAGGTGAATGGCTTTCCCGAGGACCTGTGTTCATTCCTGTAACAGTCACCATGGTGGGTGGAGTGGGTGGGGTGGGCCCAAGCTCTGCACTCATCCCACATCCCAGGGCCTGGTTAGTCCCATAACCACAGGAACCAAGGGTGGGGCCTGAGGGACAATCACTGGATGGGCCTGAAGGAGAGTGGAGGGAGGGGATTGCTAACAGGTTCCTCTACAGCAGCCAGGTCACACTGCTCACAGCCTGGGAGGCCAAGATTTCGGTCCTTTGGGTGTCTCAGGGTCTGTCCTGTCCTACTCTCCATGCTGCCTCTTCCAAATGACCTCCCTGTGGGTGTCACCAGGGGCTCCCTCTCTACTTCTGCTGGAGGAGTAGCCAACAGGGCCCCTGAGGAATCCATGCTGAGCACACAGGAGCATCGCTCACTGAGTGCTCCCCCGGGCCTTGGCCAAGCAGGAGATACGTTGTTTTCTACCAGAAGGTGGCCATCAGCTCTATGCTCTAGTGGCGAAGCTTTGCTGATAGAATGGGTTTTTGAAGTCCTGAGGCTGCATCTCATTCATGCAAAATTCACTCAACAAATATTTGCTGGGTCCAGGCAGGACTGGAGCTGCGGGGAGCCAGCAACTGGCTGTGGCCCCCGACAGCTGTGGGCTGTTTCTTCTGATATTCTAAGATGTTAGAGTGGAGACAGCCTGTGCCATGAGCCGCGTGGGTTAAAGCGTCGGTTCCTTTCTTTCCACAAACATAATTCCTCCAACCTGTCTTGACTGAGCGTCGTGGCAGGGGCGAGGCGGTCAGGCCCAGGTCCTGTTGGGTTTGCAATCAGAGCGCCTCCTCACGAGTAGGAGCAGCTGGACTTCCAAGTGGAGCTCCGCGGCCCAGATTCCTTTCCCGTGTTGGGGCCTCCTGCTGACTCAGGGTGCTGCCCTGCAGGTATTCCTAGGGCAGGCACACGCTTCGGTCACCCATTAGCCCGTTTAGAAAAGGCTGCAACGTTCACACGCGGCTCCACTGAAGGCGGGAGCAGTAGAACTGACTTTATGGATGCGCTGTGGCTGGTGCCACATCCCTGTCTTGCTGGACTCCGACCCTGGTTCCGCTGCCCATGTACAGCCAGGGGAGGGCAGCCGTCACCCGAGCCATGAGCCAGCACCACCTCATGCCCAGCATCATGCCGGGGGCTGGCCAGCCTGGCCCACGCCCATGGCTGCTCCCCTTAGCTCTGATGTCCCTCGTGCGAATTCGACCAACAGTCAGGTGTCAGGTACAGGCACTTGATTGGTGGGATTCCTGAGGCCGCAGTGTCAGACGTGGGAGACGAGGTCGTGCGGGGGCTGAGGCCAGCCCTGGGTCTCCGTGTGGCCTTGCAGGGGAATATGGACAGACTCTCCATCGAGAAAGATGGCTGTTTCTCAGAGTGGCTGGGGTGGTGACGATAGCGAGGCCTCTGCGCAGGGGAGTGGGTGTGAGTGCGAGTCCCCTGAGATGAGAGACGCCTGGCTCTGCACTCCGAGGTCTGCTGGGGGCAAGGTGAGCTCCATCAGGGGGTAGGGGGGGTTAGAAGCCCCCGTTTCTTTTATTGGCTGTACCATGAGCAGTGAGGCCTCAGGGGCTGGAGATCTCGAGGGCACGTGTGTAAGGGCGCGGTAGCACCCATCCATCTCCACCGGGCATCGGCCCAGGGCCATAGTCGGAATCTAGTTTGGGTCCCTCATGTACAAAGATGGACTAGAGCACATCCGAAGGCCCCATTTACCCTCATCACCCCGAGCCCCCAGTATCTATCCCCGGTACCCCTCTCCCCATTACCTGTCCCCCACCCCCGGGATGGGCCCAATTACCATGAAACCCAATCCTTCCAGGCTGGTGCTCGGTCAGTGGGGGCTCCTGTGTGTTTTTCTGACAACAGAATCAGGGAAGAGAAAAGCAAGATGGGGGGTGGGGGCGGTGTGTGTGCTTCAGACTGTGAGGGCCTGGCCTGCGATCCCTGGCCAACTGCATCCTTGCTCTAGCGCTCAGCTCTGAGCTGGACCATCCCCTGCTGTGGGGCTCCTGGGTCCTGCCGCGTTGCCTCTACCCACCGGATGCCAGTAGCAACTTTTCGCCAGGCTTGACATGATCTAGTGTTCCCTGGGGCAAATGCTAGCCCAGCATGGAGGGGCTGGGGGAGCCCAACCCAGCACAGACTCAAAGGAGGGTGGCATGTACCAAAGGACGAGGTGACCAGACCAGGAAGGGTGACCACCCACCTTATGGGGGGAGGGGACTGGCCAGGTGGGAGAGAGCTGGGGGAATTCAGTACGCCTGGGAGGGCAAGGGGGGCACTAGGCAGCAGCAAGAAGACTGCGCACAAACGGTGTCTGTGGGTTGGGGTCTCCATAGTGGGGTATGTACAGCCCAGGGGCCAGGAGGGGCCAGGTACAAACGGAACTACTGCACTTTGCAGTCTAAAGATGGGAAAGTAAGCGTGGCTTCCAAGGCAGGCTGCAGTCTTCTCTCCATGTCACCGTCGTGCAGTTCCCAGGGCAGGGGTTCCACATCCGTCGTGCAGTTCCAAGGACAAGGGGCTGCGGTCCTCTGCTTTGGGGGTGCTGCAACACTGGGCCTTGGTTAACACTGCATGAGGGCGTTTGTGGGTGACACTGTCTGGTCAACAGAAGCCCCAGGTCGGTTTCCTCAAGGTCAAACAAACCCCATAACTGGGGCAGCGCCCCACCGCCCGGGTCAGTGTGCACTGGCTTGTTACCCTAGAGCAGCCCTGGGGCAGTGTGGCCATGAGCACCTGTCACACGCAGGGCACCTGAGCGCAGAGTCTGAGGCTCCTCAGTGGCACAGGCGAGGCACACCATTCCTACACCAGCAAACCTTCAGGTTGGGGTCCCCCAGCTCTGGAGGGGAATGCAGGAAGGGGGTGTCTATCAGGGTGCAGATCTGATTTGGGCTTTAGAAAGGTGGGGAGAGGGGTGGCTCTGGGGAGAGGCCAGTGAGCTCATGGGGTGGGGGCTGGGTCAGGGCCTACGGGGGGGTAGGTGAGTGGGGTCCTCACAGAGGCTTCTGGAAGGTGGGGGTGGGTAGAGGCAGGAAGCCCAGGTGTGGTATAGCCTCCTTGGTGCCACCTGTCACAGGGGAGGACAGTGACCGAGGTGTCAGTGTCCACTCATGGCCATGGGATCTCCATGCTAGGGAGCCAGGCCCGCTGCCTGGGGTCTCTGGGAACTGCGGGGTGAAGGCTGCTCCTGGGAACGCAGCCCTGGGGTCCCCATTTCTCGGTGGTGGGCGAAGCTCTGGGCTCCTCTGAGCAGCCAGGAGGCAGCGGCTGGGAAGCAGACAGCGAGTGCTCTGTGCTCTGGCTCCGTGGTGCTGCCACCGCCCAGCTGTCTCCTGCAATCGCCCTCCCCCAGGACATGTCCCCTGGCTCCCAGCACTCTCTCAACGCTGCCTGACTTCTGCCTCTGCCTTGGGAATTTCTGTCACAACAGCGCACACACTCACACACACTTGCTTGCACTCACACACGCCTCTCACACATATTTATATAGTCTCACACACCTCACACACATTCGTGCACAGCACTCACATGCACCTCACACGCCCCCCTCGCACACCCAGCGATGTCTTCCGGAGTGGGCGGGGAGGGCTGCCAGGAGGAGGAGGCGCATTTGTGCACGGGCTGGGAGTGAGCTCTGCTCTGTTGCTCCAGCAGAGGTCCCAGCACCAGGAACTCGGTTTTCTCACCTCTCTCTCTGCTGACGCCAGAATTCCAAATCCGCCAGCGGGGGAAGAAGCCGACCAGCCCAGCCTGTGGCTCCTCAGCACCCTTCTCTGACAGCTTCCTTTCCCGGTGGCGCTGGTGTAGGTGCCCAGGGAAGCCCATGCCCCACGCCAATCAGCTGGGCAGCACCCCTCCCACCAGCTCCCTGTGAGGCTCCCTGCATCAGGATGGGGGCCACTCTGCCAGAACCAGAGAATGGAGGAAGGGACAGGTCCCAGCGGGAAACTGGAGGGCTAGTCCCAGCACAGGAGGACAGAATTCCCTCCCATCGGGATCACGCACCCTGGCCTGTGCACATCACAGAGGTCAGTGAAACCAAAGGCAGGAAAAGTCCCTGCAAACTGTAACGTGCCAGCTCTGGTTGCTAGCAATGTGGCTGGGTGCCTCTCCATCCAGTTTGACCTGTGGCGGGGCAGGGCCTGTGGATGGGGCAGCGACTGTGGTGGGGATGGTCCATGGTGGGGGTGGTCCATGGTGGGGATGGTCCATGGTGGGTGGGGCCTGTAGCGCTCAGGCCTGTGCTCATCTTCAGAGTCTCTGTGCTGAGGGAGCACAGAGCTGGACTGCAGGCTGGAGGTGTGAGGAGGCCTCGCCCTGCCCTCCAGTCGGGGGGAGGGGGGTGACTCAGTTTCCTTCTAGATCTTGTCCTATCTCCCTGGCGAAGGAGCTGGCAGTTGGTTATCAAATACCCCCCCGCACCCCCATGCTCCACAGTGCATTGTTACCGTCCTTTGCACAATGTAGAGCAAGTAATGGAGATCTTTCCTTCAGATGGCCGCGTGCGGGGTTGGCGGGGAGGGGAGAGGGTGTGTCTCCAGCTGTAGTTCAGGTGACACCTCCTCTCAGCTTCTCCTTTTGCATCCTGAGACTGGGTCTTTGCTGAGCTATCAATTGCTCATTTCAGCCTGTGGTCCGCTAAGATCTGTAGATTGTTTTCACAGGAAACGCTGCTGTTGCTGGGAGCCGGGACTCCAGTTCCTCACACCTGCATGGTTCTGCCCTGATGCTGACACGAGCCAAGGCTGGTCCCTGCCTGTGTTCTCCAGAGCTGCCTTTGTCCCTAGGTGTCTGCGGTGTCTCTCCCGCCCCCTGCCTGTGACAGGGCCTGAAATGTCGCCACCTGCCATGCCTTCGGTTTCTCCCTATAAACAACATGAATGTTCTCTGAGCAGGAGGTGGCCTGGGTTAGTCAGTTTTTAGCACGCTCCAGTCATGTGGGGGTCTCAGGCTGCATACCTGGGACCTTACACGTTTAACGTCATCCTTGCAGTGGGCCTGCCCTCGCTGTTCGTACCGTTCTGTGCCCGTGAAAGCCATAACTGGACAGCGATGTTTGTGCTGGTCAGAGGCCTCTCATGTGCTCCTGGGCATCTGTGAGCAATAATCCAGCTGCTGCCTTCCTCCACAGCCCGTGGCTGTGGCTCTTCCTAGAAAGAGGTGGGGTTCACACCCTGGTACCTGGGCTCGTTTGGGACACAGGTCCTGAAAGTACATGTTCCCTGTGTACACCGGGCACTGTTGCAGGACGACGGTGCCCCATGGCTGTGCATATGCTGCTGGTGCAGGAGAGGAGCCCGCTGCACCCACCAGGCCTCTCATCCTCAGCCACACGGTCACCAGGCCACGCAGGCCACCGGCGAGCAAGGGGACCCACGCTCCTGTTGCACGCGCTCCTGTGGTTGAATGTTATGCAGTGTCATGGTAGCCACAGCTGACCCACACGGGTGAGTGCCAGGCCTCCCCAGGGTCCCTGCAGGAGGAGGACCCAGGAAAGGGACACTCCCACAGCAGGGAGCCCCAGTGCCCAGTGTGTCTGTGGGGAGGATGATGCTAGAAGTGGGAGCACGGGCTCCAGCCTCAACTCAGCCACAGACTTATCCTCAAGCCAGAGGATCTCACCTTCTCTGGGCCGGCTTGTCACTTAGTCTCTGACAGCCTGCTCACCCTGATCAGCTCTTGCTCCACTCAGCAGCCTCTGCCCACCTGATATGTGTGACACCCCACTGGGGGTCACTGCAGAGGCCCCCAGCCGCACAGCAGGGAGTAGTTTTATGATGGGTTTTATGATGGCTCTACACTCGAGCTGCCTCTGAATAACAGCCTTGATTGGCTCTACACAGGCAGCCCGTGTGCCAGGCACAGCCCCAGCGCCTTATGTGGACTGCAGCCACCTGGGCCTGAAGCAGCCCCGAGCCAGGTCCCCCAGCGGGACAGAGAAACGGTGACTCTGTGGGCTTGCCCCAGCGAGGTGAGTCCTGTCTGGTCTCAAAGTCTGTGCCTTCACCACCTTCCTGTGATGTCCATGGCCCGGGGGAGCCTCCTAGGCCACCATGACAAAGACTGGGGCTTAACCTGCAGAAATGTATCCTCCAACTGTCCTGAGGTCAGAAGTCTGAGGTCGAGCTGCTGGCAGAGCTGCTCCTGGGCGGTGAGAGCATCTGGGGGCCTCCCCCTCCGCCGTGTTTTCCGTCTCTCTCGCCGTCCCTGGGCTTTTAGACGCGTCACCCTGTCTCTGCCTTCACTTCACATGGCATTGCCACTGCGCGCGCCTGGGGTCCAAACCCATCCTTCTCGTAAGGACACCAGTCACACTCAGCATGACCTCATCTTGTCAAACCACATATTGGAAGCTGGCCCATCTGGCAAGTCAGGTCACCTTCTGAGGTCCCAGGGCTTAGGACTTGAACAGATGCATGTGGAGGGGACACAGCAGCCCCTCAGTGTGAACATCAGTCCTGGGGCTACAGTCCTGGCTGGTTGTGGGCAGCAAGGGAAGTGGGGTGCAAACTTGGTGGGGCACAGCCCCCAGGAAGCCTGGGTAGCTCCGTGTCTGCCAGCTGAGCCCAGGGTTTGGCCTTAGGAAGAAAGACAGGGGGTGTGTGTGTGTGTGTGTGTGTAAGGGGTTCTGTTGATGTA